TCAAGAACTCTGTTTTTGTTGAGCCTGAGAATCAGAAACCCGAATTTTTCGTACCAAAACTGGTGGTTTATCGTCGAATGGGTCCGACGTAACCGAAAGGAAGAGAATATCATCGATACCAAAACTTCCCGGAAATCATCGATAAGAGGTCTCTAGCTAAATCAAACCCAGCTCTAAGAACTACTTTGCCCGAATCGGACACTGAATCCCATGTTCTATGATTTCGACTAGGGACTTTAAGTGAGGAAGAACCGCACAACCAATCAAATAGCAATTTGTTGAACAATCTTGATCCCATTATGCCTAGCTTGCCATGACTTCTTACTCTGACACAACTTTCAAAAATGGCAGAAGTACAAGAATCCCAAGTGCAGAAGCAACAATATTAAAGCTCTAGCAGTTGTATTCCTAACATATTAGCAGAAGTGCAGGAATCCCAAGTGTCGAATTCTGTAATGCAAAAGTTAATGAGCAAACAAAATATTATCAAAAATTTTCCAACCTGGCAAGAAAGCCGCCTGAATGTCGCTAATACAAGCGGCCATGATCATGTCAAGAAAAATACACATCCTCATGTGATCCAAATTGTGCATCATTTGTGGTCCAAAATAGAAAACTAATCCATATGATAGAAGTGATTATAAACTTGACAAAGAAAGAAGAAGTTCTGGCACTCATTTGAAAGATTTCAGTCAGTCAAGAAGGTTGGCAATCTGGGAATAATTTCATTCCATCAATCGTACCTTTTCAAGTCTTTACCAGATAATGTTATGACAACATAAAACTTATCATCTTTATACAACAATGGCCAAAGCAGACAGCTTGCATTCCTAGAAAATGAAATGGAATATATTTCAGGAATAAATCCTTCTCAATCGTACCTTTTCAGCAGAAGAAGCACGACCAGAATTTGCCCCAGCACCTAACCGGCTTATCAAATCTTTTGTCTGCTCAATCTCCTTCTGTTGCATCTCCCAGCATTGAGATTCAACCATGATGCATTCGCCTCAACATACTGAGAATAATTACCCTCAAATGTCCTGGGAACACCCATATCAGTCTCCACAATCTTTGTGCACAGCTGATCTAGAAAAGCTCTATCATGGGATATAATGACCATTGGAACATCTTGCTTGTTGAGATACCCTTCAAGCCACTCAATTATATCGAGGTCAAGGTGACTTGTAGGCTCGTCCAAAAGCAAAAAATCAGGTTCCTGCAAATTTACATCTATATCAACAAAACAACTAGAATACCAATTTTCTCTACTATGTATCGTACGCATGACCCATGGATTAACAACCTACGCATCATCAAAAGATATAACAAGTTAACCGTTAATAGTAAAAATTTGCAGCCCGAGTCCAATCATAGCTATAACTTATGCAAAAGTAAACAATTTGTTTGAACATTACTATTACTATGAAAATATACATTTAAAAACAATATATTGTTAGCCATCAACGAATCAACCCCTATGCAATTCTAGAAGTGAACTCCTATACCTCTTAACCTCTACAAATTAGGCTCAAGAATTCATTTCCCCTACTTCATTTAACAAAGCAAAAAAGAAACCTTTGGTTAAACTAGGCAACTATCATGATATCAAATTAATAATTTTACCTGCAACAAGATCTTTCCAAGTGACATCCTCATCTGCCAGCTGCTACTAAAACTGGCAACCAACCTATCCGAATCCTCAAGAGAAAACCCGAGCTCCGACATCAACTTGCTAGCCTTAGCATCAACCTCATCCAAATCAACAGCCTGAGCTCTTCTTTGCAACAAATTAAACTCATCCAAAAGCCTTCCCATCAGCTCCAAATCCTCGGTAGTCCCTTATATCGCCTTTTGAACCCTCTCTAACCTCTCAGAAATATCCATTTCCTCTTTAAAGGAACTCATAAACTTCTTCCTCACCGTCCTAGTCATCAAAACCTCGAATTCCTGGTTCAAGAACGCAATTTTTCATGTGGGGCTTAGCCTTTATAACGTTCCCCGAATCGGGTTCTTCTAGCCCAGCTATAATTCTCATTTGGATCGTTTTCCCTGCTTCGTTTACTTCAACCAATCCAACTTTCTCGCCTTTTTTCACTTCCCAGCTCACATCTTTCAAAACCGTTACTCCTTTATAGCTCTTGCTAATGTTTTCGAGCTTTACACTAGAGGATTGCCTTTTTACCGGTGTTGGATTGCCTGTTGCCACGCTTCCAATCAATCTCTTCCACAGTGTCGGATGAAAACAATGATTCAATGTCGTTTTGAGGGTCCTTGATGGAGGTCTCAACACTGAGAGTGGAAACTTGGGAAGTTATCTTAGAGGGTCTAAATTTAAGGCATTTGGGGAGGCAAGTGAGCAGGAACCCAGAAACATATGCTAGCGGGGAGAAGAAAGGGAGTGGAGAATAAGATATCGCGCAGAAATAAGCTGGAGAAAATGGGTATTTTAGCCCTTAGGACGGGAATAAAATAAAACCTAACATACATACGGGAATAACATTCCCAGGAATAAAACCCCAAAAATTACTATTGGTATTATAACATTACCCTCACTTGGAAATTATATCCAACCAAACATGGGTATCTTTCATCAGTAAACAAATATGCCTGTTGGGAATGTTAAATTCCTTGATCCAAACAGACTCTAAAGAGTTTAACATCTTACGTTATAATATTACATCCTAAAATGATTGATAGAGTTGAGAGTCTCTTCTCTAACAAAATGTTAAGATATCCTTACTGTGAAACTTTTGAGATACCTTCCACTTTAATGGCACCACGGTAAAGACACTTCAACTCGACAATCAGATTTCTTAAATGACGACGAGATGCCTTCTCCTTAGCATGGTATAATTATTAGTTTTGTACAGTAAAAATGGGGTTAAATTTGGATTGAAATATAATTGGATAAATTATACAAATGGTCCCTATGTTTTCAGTCTACCTGATTTTGATCACCGGTTCAAAAAAATGATTTTGATCCCTTACATTATGAATTTGTTCGGTTTTGGTCCCTCGACTGTTAACTCTCGTTGATCGATTAACGAAAGTATGAGTTGACAATTAAAACCTAAAAAAAGAATTCACCTGTCATTTTTCTTCTCCTCCTCCTCCTCCTCCTCCTCTTGTCATTCAGAACTTCAAACATTTTATATGACCAAATACTAGAACAGAAACCTTGCCTCACTATCCTAGAAGCATTCTGTATAAGCCTGGGATTTACCTCAATCTACACTCACTTTATAAACTCCCACACTGCATGTTTCAACTACTGTATGACCACTTACATGACAAAGACTCTAGAATTCTTAAACATATTTTGATCTTATCCTGTTTTAAAACTTATCCAATCATTAGAAAGAGATCTCTCACACCAATAACATTATCATAAATCACATGGCACGTCACCCAAACAAGTTACTTCTTAAAAATACATAAAATCAGGCAGCACATGCAAGGCAAAAATAAAAACTACTTGTAACAGAAAAAAGACAATAACAATGAACACTCATCCTACAACTTAAGTTAGTGAAGGTGTCAAATTCTTACTATCAAACGTATGTTAAAAAGAGCCTTTGAACATCAAACTAGCAAACAACTAGCAACTGTCATTTCATAAGATCGCTGGATATAATTAAAACTTTGATGTTATATCATTACATAAAGACCTGCATACAATTAAACTTAGATGACTGACATATGAGGCAAAAACTAAGCTTACATTCACAGCTCTTACATAGGCAGAGATGCCTACAAGGTAATAAGAGCGTACAAGTATCATTCACTGCACAAGCTTTACAAGTTATCAACTCTTTCTTGTTGCTATTCTCCTTGCAGAGCATATGGAAATCAATGGCTCGACCATTGCAAGATGAAGTTGTATCATCAACCTCACTATCAACACATCCTTTCTTACTATCTCTATTCTCTACTTTGAGCATAAACTTGTTGAAGATTAAACCTGAGAGCAATAATCATGTTCTCATTGTATCTGGCACGTTGCTGTGAGGCAACCTACTTCCATTGTCAACTACTCCATATGCTCTTCAAGTTCTATGTTCTTGTTTATATTTTCCACTTCTGCTTTTTTTTTCACCAAGTTTTTGAAAAACTCTCTTTGACGAATGGAATTGTCTGAAGCTGCTTCACTTGAAGTTGAACCTTCTCCAACACAGATTGTCGTAATCGGTCACCCTAATTAAAGAATAGCAAATTAGAATCACTTTCATTTAAGTAAAATTCAGAAATACTTGATGACTAAAATATATATTGTGCGACAAGGATAGAAAGTTGATATTAAAACAAACAATTAGAAGTTTCACCGCCATGAACCTCCCCTCCATACTCAATATAATTATACTATTTCACTTTCACTTACAACCATTAATTAATAATACACGCACAACTAACATCATAACCTCGTGAAGGAGAGAATAGAAAAAGAAATAATTATTCTCTTTGTTCATTATTCTCTTTTACATATTTATGGTGGAAGAAGAATAAGAAGAATGATAAGTGGATTTTTTTTAATTATCAACGCAGACTTTTGTTAATAGGCTAACGGAAGTTAACGGCCTAGAAATCAAATTCGAATGAATCAATAACGTAAGGGACCAAAATCATTTTTTTGAATCGGTAATCAAAATCGGACATACCGAAAATATAAGGACCATCCTTATAGTTTACCCAATATAATTTTCTTTAGAAAAAATCGAGTTACAGTTCGATTTGACTCATCCATTAACATATATGATTGACATTAGTTTACATTAGCTATAAAAGAAAAGAAAAGAAAAGAACAGACAGCAAAGAGTAATGGTTTTTTGTATGATTAATTATGCAGAAGCTTATTATAGTTATAGTGACACCAAAATGTAGAATTTTAGATCTTTTCCTTAATTAATCATAACAATTGGATTCAACGGTCAGTCCTTTTCTCGGGAAAAAAAGAAATTTCTTTTTTTCCTTTCTTCTTCTCCTCGTCCTCATCATCATCTTCATCTCAATTCCTCATAAGGTATCGTTTTCTAGTTTTTTTTTGGTATTGGATTCAAGCTTTTCATCATGAACAATATGTGGAATTGTAATTGATAGTTCATTGTGATATTGGGTTTTGGATTATAAAGCTTCCCTAGGTGTTGTTTTGGCTGTTTCAATGGAACTGATTATTGGGTTTTCTTTCTTTTTTGTTTATTTACATTAATGAGGTAGGTTTCAGGTTTTAATTTAATTGCTGTCATTTTTGGTTGATGATCCCAACTGCATATGTGAATTGATTGCAGTTTACTGTTTGATTCAATTCTAAACTGTCTCCATTGTCCTCTTTAATTATTGGTTATCAAGAAATTCATTTTTTTTAAATAATATTGTTTTTTTTGGACCCTTTAAAGGATTTATTTCACTTAATTGTTATTGCCTATGAAGGTTTGAATTTGATATGGTTCCAAATTCTTACATTCTTAGAATGGGTTTAGTTTGTTATCTTTATTTGTGTCAAATGAGTTGAAGCGAAATACACCGTTGTGGCAATCGTCTCGAGTGTTCGAGTATATGCATTTGTGATTGTGTTTTCATTTTTTGTTCTTTATACATTTTTTATAGCTCGGAAACTTTGCTTTGCACTGATATTTTTTCTTTTTGTCAAGTGGGGCTATTACTGACTTGATTGGTTGTTTTTTTATCTTGTAATCGAAGCTTGCCGCGTTGAATCGGGGATGGGATTGTCAGCTTTGTATTGCAAGGTTAAGAACTGATTTATGCATCGATTAAGAGTTAAGACTTTTTGGTATTCATCCAGTTATGAACCTTGTGGTATCCTAGAGAAATTGTTGGGGAAATGGCTATAAACGATACTTCTCATGTACAAAGGATTTATAAGGGGTTTGCAACCGTCCTCAAGTCCGCTGCTTGTGAATGTTTTCTGATCGTTCTGCTGTTTGTTGATGCTTCCTTATCTTACCTGCTGACGAGATTTGCCCATTATTGTGGATTGCAATCGCCTTGCATTGTATGCTCTCGGCTTGATCATGTTTTCAGAAGTGAAGAACCCGGATATTATTGGAATCTGTTTTGCAGCAAGCATAGATCAGAGATTTCATTGTTGATTGCCTGCAACATTCATGGGAAGCTGGTTGACGGTCGTAGTGTGTGTGAGAATTGTCTCTCATCACACATTGAGGATACCAAATCCTACTCATATATGCAGAGGGTTTCTTTAGGAAACTTGGGGGTTGATCCTGCAGGTTTTGGATATTACGTGTGTCTATGTTGTAATGAACCTTGGACTCCAGGGCAAAACGCCCAAGGATTATCCCCCCTAAAATCACGTGGCATTGCGGTTGCAAAGTCAAACATTAATTTTCCACGTTGTTTAAGAAGTCGAAGTGGTATGAAGAAGATAAAGGAGAAGTCTTCTGCACCAGTGGAGGCTTGTTTTGGAAAAACTGGATTTGATCCTCCATCTCATGATGGATACACTGAGCTGAAGATCACTTCTGAATCAGAGCATGAGATTCCATTTTCTGAAGACGAGGTTAGCAGTTGTATGGTTCCTGATACGTATAAGAGTAAAAAAGATTCTCTAGTTCAATCTGCTCCGGAAGCTCCATCTAAAAGACTATGCAGCAATTCGGCTAGAAGAAAACAGTCTGATGCTAATGAGCACTATGATGTAACATGTTTGCCTCCTGATGTCCTCAGCGACAATGATGCATGTGACAGTAACGAGCAGCTGGCTGATCAGAAATCCAATCGTTCGATTTTTCCGGAGGTTATTTCTCTAGATGATATTCCTGCATCATCCTGCCTTGAGAAAGTTGATAAGCCCACGTCAATTGATGTTACAGAAAATCCTTATGAAACATCATTGAGAAAGTGTAAGTTATCTCCCTTTCTCTCTACATGTATATGCGTATATATGTGTTGGCCTTATCTTATACTGGCTTAATACCTGAAATTTGTAGTGGCAGATGTTACTGAAGCAAGTAAAAATGAAAATATTCCTATCAACAAGGACAGAGCCCTGAAGTTGATAAGCAAATCATCTGGAGCTGATTTTGAAACTGATCGAGTTGTAGATGATATTGCTGTGGTACATCCTCGTGTTGTGTATATGCCACCTGTCTGTGGTGAAGAAAAAAGTGAACCTATGTTTGTTATGGAAGAACCTATGCCGACATATAATAATGGAGTTAACAAAGATCGGTCATTGCCAGATCAGTATTCTTCGGGAGAAGGGATTCAATTATCATTTAACAATTGTCCCGAGTTGCAAGATAATAGCGATGACTTTGATGAGGAGACTAATGAATCCAATCCTTATGGAGTCCAGAGTTTTGATAACTACTTTACGGAAATAAATGAATTTGTTTACGAGGTCATAGTGATGATGACTTTGAGACAACTGACGAATCCAATCATTATGGGGTTCAGAGTTTTGATAACTACTTCATTCAAAGAAGTGATTTTGGCAGCCTTGAATCTTTGCATGAAAGCACTTTCAATGAAATTGAAGGTGAAGATCCAGTCGATAGGCTGAAACGGCAAAATGAGCATTACCGGAAGTGTGTGAATGACTTACACAAGGAATTCGAGGAAGAAAGAAATGCCTCTGCGATAGCTGCCAACCAGGCCATGGCTATGATTACAAGGTTGCAAGAAGAAAAGTCGGCACTCCAGATGGAGACCCTGCATTACCTAAGGATGATGGATGAGCAAGCTGATCACAATGGAGATGCCCTGGATAAAGCTAATGATCTTCTGTCAGAAAAGGAGAAAGAAATACAAGATCTGGAAGCAGAGCTTGAATTTTACAGATTAAACATAACAGATGAAGCACTGATGGAGATTTTACCTGAGGCAAGCATCAACTTAATGAATAGACAGGCTTCTATGGAGAGTACGACTACATCTTCCGTAAAGGATGATAATCTTGTTGCCAAATCTGCATGGTCACAATGTGAAGAAGAGAAATTATACATCTATGAACGTCTGCGAGATTTGGAGATGAGAGTTATCGGGTTTGCTCATCACGTGACTTCACCACACATTTCTGATGGGGAATACTTTGATACAGAAGCAAACGGAGACCAACATCTGCAAGAGTCCATTGATGAAAAGGATGAACATGCAAATCCTGAGGTGGAAGGTAATGACGTGCTAGTGCAGAAAGCTTCATCAGTGTCTAATGGAAGTGTTCCTTCTCAGGAACAGTCAAATACTTCAATAAGTAAAGATCAAGTGGTTAGTAAGGGAAACAATCATTCCGTTTCCAATGGACTGAAGGGTTCTGAGGATTGCAACAAAACTGATTTGGTCAGTCTTCAAAACGAAATTTCCGACCTTCATGAGAAGTTGGAAGCACTAGTGGCCGACTGTAAATTTCTTGAGGATTGTCTAAAATCTCTTCAAGATGGAAATGAGGGGCGGATTTTTATTCAAGGGATACTCCAGGAGTTACGAGAATTGAGGAAACTTGGGTTAAGGAGTAGGAACATGTCTCTTTCATGAGGTTTTTGTGTATCATTACACGGTAAGCATGCTAACGACATAGGGCCAATCTAAATTGATTCTTTTTACTTGACATATTAACATATAAACGTCTCTTTGATGATTAGGAGGCGGATTTTTATTCAAGGGATACTCCAGAGTTACGAGAATTGAGGAACTTGGTTAAGGATAGGAACATGTCTCTTTCCTGAGGTTTTTGTGTATCATTACACGGTAAGCATGCTAACGACATAGGGCCAATCTAAATTGATTCTTTTTACTTGACATATTAACATATAAACGTCTCTTTGATGAATTAGTCTTTTCTTGGTGGAGATCCTGCACATCTGTTATAAATTTGTTGCATGCCTTGACTGACTGCTGGTGGAAATTGCTAATATGCCTCTTGATGATTAACGATGCCTCGTGTTTGTTTAGTTTCATGTAAATTGCTACCACTTCAAGCTGATATTTCCTTTCCGGTTTCATAAAAAACCAATCCTGTAAGGTCATGGATCTGCAGATATAATCGGGTTAATTATGAATAATGCCACATATGTGGAATGTCAGTTTTGTAGGATTAAGAATAGAAGATAGGGAGCAATGAAAATAGGCATTTGAGACATAACTGGATGTGACTGCACAACTGCATCTATTTTACCATTCGTAAGAAAGTCCGGTTTTGCATTATCATGTCCAAATGTGCTTAAGCTGATAATAGTATTTGCCATATTTGTTCGTAACTCCATTATCATGCTGTTGAACTCCTTAAGCTTTTAATCCAATGCTATGTTGTTCCAACTCTTTAATTCTTCTTGAATTACCCCATGACCGATATCCATATCCGATGTATATCTAGACACTGATACGTGGATATGACCCTTAAAGTATCTTGGAAACTTGAACATACTCGTATCCAACACACGCCTGAATCTGATTAACATAGATTTAATGCGTTGCTCTACTTAATTTATCAAGTTTTCTTTTTTTGAAATCCTAAAGCTTTAGTCCTATACTCATGATTGACTGAATGTGACATTCATATTTCAGATGCATCCACACTGAGGATAAAGTGGCCAGCTTGAAGTTTGATTCAAAAGTTGCAGCCTTGCAGGATCTCAGCTTACCACGAAATTGTGAAATACCCGGATCAGGTTTTACACTTTCCACCTGTGTTATCCCGACTCTTTATTTCGTTTAAAGTATCCACATTCAATATTTGTGCGACAAATATTCGAATATGGATGTCGGGATTTGGACCTCCAATTATATGGGAGCAAAAAAAACTTCGAACAGTTGAGTATACCATGTCGGATATATACTCGTATCTCTCACTTACTCGAGTCCAAGTAACACTGCTATGTGGGAGTAAAACTGTAAAAGTAATTTATTTTTCATTGCTTTGGCAAGGGTTACATTTGTGGTATTTTTTTTGAAGCACTGTGTGACTAGGTTTTAAAGTGGGTGATTTTTTAGTCTCATTTTACTTCAATTTTAAAAAAAATATATTTGTTTATTTATTTATTTTTGAGGTTTGTTCACACTTCATAGTAATCCAATCCTACTTCAACTGTAAATCCATAACATCTCAATATACATAGTTTATTATTTTCAGTCACCTGTTGCTTACCTTCTTTAGCTAAGAAGACTTATTTTTGTTCGAAGTATTCGTGTTTGACATCTATGCTTGATCAATACAGATCAGACATATGTTTTTGACATCTATGTCTGATCAATACAGATCAGACATGTTTTAGAGTACACACAATCAGTAAAATAAATAATTAATTGAAGAAAATTCATATTCCAACCTACCCTGAATATAACCTAAATCTGTCACTATGTTTGGTTATATTCGAATGTAAGCTTAGATTATGGAAATTTATGTAAACCCTAAATTTTTAATATATTAAATAAGTAATCATATTTTTATGTAAATTTAAGTCTTAAACTTAATAAAATCAATTAAACAGTTAATTAGAACGTAACACTGTGATGAACTTGAAGAAAAAAACAGTAATTAGTTGCTATCAAATCTTAGCATGTCAAACGTCCGCAAAATCTTTTTGGTTTGAATGTGTGTTTTTTAACTAAGTTACGTACAACGGTTCATGCACCTTGCCCCGTTATTTCTTTTAGATTAAGTACCCAATTTAATTGGTAGTCAATTGATAGCTTCAAGTTTTAAATAGTTAAAATTTTGTCCTTTTAATTGTTTCTTTAATCTTATTTGTGGATATGGAAGAACCGGGCAAAGTGGGGAATTTGTGATGAGAGTCTACATAAAATTAACAATTTTTAGAGCTAAAGATATAAGCTTTATTATTATTATTAAAATGGCTCAAATTGTTTTTTTTTAATTCATGAGTGGGGTCAAATGAAAAGTTTCATTTAATAAAACGGTAAAAGAGAATAAACTAAATTATTAGTATTTCACGGTGACTAGAGTTGTAATTGTATCATTTACTCAAGGGGAACATTGCATTCCTAACTCCTAAGAAAATACTCATGTTCGAATCTTAAAAACGAAATTATTATTGGCCGCTCTCCCCCCCCCTTTTTTTTCTTTAAAGTTTTACCCTTTTTTTATAAATCATATTAACTTTTTCTATTTTGATTTTGTTCAATCGATGACGGCATCGATTTTAATACTAGTTATCTATCATATGTTCTATTTTTCACTTTGTTTCTTTTTTTAGTCTTTAATAAGAATAATTTTACCTTTGTGACACGTTTTTCTTTATTTTTGTGATCGTCTTCTTTCTTGGTCGTTTGGCTGTTCTTTTTATTTTATGTTTTCACAGGGTTATATTTGATGACGTCACGACTGATCAAGATGGTGCTTATTTATAATCATGTTGATCTTCCCTGCTATAGTCTCTCAGATTGAATGTGGATATACAATTTTACGTTCGTCGATAGTTTCTCACGATGCTCAGTTCTAATTTGTGGTTTTTGGTGGTCTTTCAATAGCTTAATCTATTTTTTGTGGTTCGTTTGTCGATGCAATCAGATTTGTTTATATCTATTGTTTATTTGAGTCTTTTGGTTGAATTTTTTACTTTTTCCATGTATGGTCCTTATATAATCTAAGTGGCTAGTTTTAATGTTATAGAAAAATATCCAAATTATGTATTTAGTTTACAATGGTAGTTGTAAACCCTTAATATAATTTTGGATATTTTCAATTTTTAATAAGACCGGTGGTTTCTAATTAAAAAGCGAAATTATTAAGAGAGGCAACTATAAACTCCAACTCCAAACATTGTCCATTTTAAAAGAAAAAAACTACTCAAGGGACCAAATTCTCTATTTGTGCTCCTTAATATATAAATAGAAAAAATATTACAAACACTAGTACTCGACATGGCATTTTTAAAAATAACAATCTTTATTCTTATTAACTTTATTATTGGTTAAATTAATGCCATACATTATCAAGTATTTAATTAATGAGAAAATGATTATTTTTAAAATATTAGTTAACAACAAATTAAAATTATTATTTAAGAAATGAATACGAGATTCAACGCAGTTTAAACAAATTTTTAAGTTAAACAATTTTAGTCAAGAGAAAATCATTATACGTTATTTTTAAATAATTTATTTGTGGCGGAAAGTGCTTGATAGCTACCATCCATGACCGAGCGTTGGCTGCCGGAGACAGTGACTGCGGCGGTGGCCATAAAGTCAAAACGAGAATGATGCCCAAGTTAAAATAGATCGTAATACATTGTGACTGTAAGATGACCGATGGATTTTGTCGGACCTAAACAATTTGATGATTATTCTAGTTTGAATTATATCATTTTCTATATAATATTTTTAAAAATAGGGCAATATCCAATATATCTAATATAAAATTAAGAATTTTATACCTTTTAAGATTGTTAGTTGAGCAAAATTTAAGACCGAGATTAATAATAAAAAATAAGAAGATATTCATCCAAAAAAATGAGTTAATTTGAGTATTTGATTTCACTCGTACAATAATTTTAAAAAAGTGTAAAATTCTTAATTTTACACAGAATAAGTAAATCTTAAACTTTAAAAAATAATTATAAATATTATATATAATAATAATAATCATAAATCATAAATTTTAAATATATATATTTTGATCAATGTGTAATATGATGACAAACATAAATTTATCCAGAAACATAAAAAATAGAATTGTATTATACATATTTAAATTCATTTAAAATACTTAAATTCAATAAATAATAAAAAATTATTAATTTTAATCCAAATATTACTGAAATTATGGTGTTTTCTTATTGAAATACCACCTTAAAATTTTTTTTGGGAATAATATATGTCTAAAATTATTATAATATTTTTATGTCCCGTAAAACAAAGGTATATCGCATCAAATGTGTCTTTGAAAGTATGTCTTACATGTTATATCTTTTAGCTAATTTCATAAATGTCTAAATTTTTTTAATTCAAATATTACTGAAATTATGGTGTTTTCTTATTGAAATACCACCTTAAATTTTTTTTTTGGAATAATATATGTCTAAAATTATTATAATATTTTTATGTCCCGTAAAACAAAGGTATATCGCATCAAATGTGTCTTTGAAAGTATGTCTTACATGTTATATCTTTTAGCTAATTTCATAAATGTATGATCACAAATTATATTAAAATGAGAAAAGTATTATCAACAAACAGCTAGCTAGCTAGTGAATTATGAGAGTGCTCACATATTGAGTCTTTATAATATTTAAATTTAATTAATTAATTATATATCAGTAATTATATTAACAGAATAAAAATATCAATTTTAAAAATATTTTTAAGATATACTAAAAAGACCCTAATTTTTTTTTTAAAGTTGTCATCTCGGGTTTAAGGATTTGTCTTGACTAATCACTTTGTCTTGATTAATTCGGGCCGACTCGCGTTGCACACCTAACTTTGATGAGGTGAGTCTCCCAGCAGAGATTTTCTGCATACATAAATACTCGAACTCGAAATTTTACTTTAGAAATATTAAGCTGCTTACCACTTGGGTATACATCCGAAATTATATATATTTTTTATTTTTACCTTTTTGGGTATAACCCCACCGCCGTACGTCATTTCTGGTTATTAATTGCTTTTGTTTTAAAGAAATTTCTATCACCATAATTTTAATTATTTGTTTTTTTATTAGGAATTTTGGTATCTATAAAGCGTATGGTTCTTCAAAGCTCAAACATTTACAGACATGACAACCTCAACGAATGAGTCTTCTTTCCTTCAATGTTATTCAAGTTCATTTCGTCCAGACTTCTCGAATGTGTCATCGTTTGGATTGTCTTCGCAGTCGCAGTGGCCGGAGGCTTTTTCCAGTGGTTGGGATGAGCTTCTTCTCAACTTCAATGACTTTGAAGAAATGGTTTGGGTGGATATGGCAGCGGCCTCAGATCAGTCCAAGAACTCCATTAATGGCGTAAAGGAAGATAACCCCACATCGAAGGATATCGCTAAACACGAAGAATCATCGAAGAAACAGAAAGCTTACGTAGGTGTGAGGAAGCGGCCATGGGGGAAATACGCTGCCGAGATCAGGGATTCGACGAGAAATGGGGTCAGGGTTTGGCTTGGAACATTCAACAGTGCTGAAGAAGCCGCTTTAGCTTACGACCAAGCCGCGCTTTCGACGAGAGGATCATCGGCGATACTCAATTTTCCGATTGACGTCGTCAGGGAATCGCTTTGGGACATCAAGTACCGATTCGACGACGGTTGCTCGCCGTTGGTGGCGCTGAAGAAGAGACACAGCTTAAGGACAAGATCCAAGAACAAGAAGATTGTCAGTAAAGAAAACGAGGTTTCAAGGGAGACAAGACAACGACAGAACTTGGTTGTGTTGGAAGATTTAGGAACTGATTACTTGGAACAACTTCTAAGCTGTTCATGTTATAATTCCAATAATTTGAAAAACAAGTATGAATGCTATAATGAATAAATTTTAAAATTATATATAATTTTTTATTAAAAAATTATGCATATTTAAAATTTAATATATTTTTATTAATTTAGAATAAATACAATGTAATATATATTCAAATATAACTCTACTCTATTTGACATTAAACGTTTGTATCCTGACATTTATGGTACTTACACTCGAGACCTCAAGGAACAAGAACAATCCCTTTATTATATATTAAGATTATTTGATTGGTGTATTTAAAATTTAATGTAATGTAATTATAATAATTAAATTTTAATATAGTTGATATTATTATTGTTTTAACATAAATAATAATTAAAGTCTTTTATTGATATTCCAAACAATTAGGAGTAATCATCTGTTACTTGCAATAGTTAAAGATTTTTGAGTAAAATTCATTACAGATTTCTGAACTATCCTTGAATTTTTTTTATCAAACTTTTAAAATATATAAAATGTTTATTAAATTTATCAAATGGTTATAAAATATTAACAATTTTAAAAATAATTAAGAACAATCGTTACGTTTTATCAAATTTTTATAAAATAATCATTAAATTTTATTAAAATTTTATAATAATAATGTTACAATGATGTTTTATAACTTTTGAACAAGTAAATGATTGACCACGAAGTGTGCATTATTTTGAGGATTAAATTTAAAAAAGCCCTCAAATCTAAAAAATAATAAATTTTTATGTTTAATTTCACGAGTTTTAAGAAAATTAAAATCAACAAAATAATAGAATAGAAGAGATAAATTCATTGGTGTTGCATAAAAAAATATGGGAGAATGATGATTTTTAATGACGAATAAAAATAAACGAAAAATTAAAAATTAAAATGAAGATAATAGTAATATGCAATAAAAAATAAATTTAAAACTTTCACGTCAGCATAATTCACACACCAAACTACTACGGTAATTGCCTAACGAGTACGGCTCAGTTGAAGCCAAAATTAAAGCTTTAATATTAAAAATTAAAATATTTTAAAATGTAGTAATAAAATCTATATAAACCCTAAAATTTAATAAGATTTGGAATAGTTGACCATATAAAAAAACTTTACAGAGAAAAGGGGAAGGATATAATCCAACAGAAAACCAGGTGAAAAAAAATCAACAGATATTGACCAAAATCCAAAACCAGGAAGGCTAAGAACAAGGAGGCAAAACCCTAATAAATTATCTTCTTCAATATATATATATATATATAAATTCTGTGTAATTTTGGTTTTTGACCCCGCCGCCGTACGTCATCTTTGAATCTCCGGTTAACTGAATATTTCGTTTTAACCCTTTTTCCTGTTATTTATCTCTATGGTTTTTTTAAAACATTTAGTTCATTAGTTCTTGTATTATTAAAATGCGTTTGGTACTTCAAAGTGCAAACGTTGTTGGATCTTCTAAAATTTACAACAGAACCACCTCAATGGACAAGTCTTGTCTCTTTCTACGTTATTCAAAGTCAACTGTTCCCGACATCTCGCCTGAATCATCGTTTGGATCGCCGCCCCCGGAGACATTCTCTAGTTGCTGGGAGGAGCTTTTTGGCAACTTCAATGACTTTGAAGAAATGGTCTGTGTGGATATGGCGGCGGCCCCCTCGGATCAGTTGAAAAACTCCATTAACGGCGGAAGGGAACATAATGTTAGATCGGGTGTTGCTAAACATGAAGAATTACCCAAGAAGGAAAAAGGTTATATAGGTGTAAGGAAGCGGCCATGGGGGAAATACGCGGCTGAGATTAGGGATTCAACCCGACATGGTCTTAGGGTTTGGCTCGGAACGTTCGACACCGCTGAAGCTGCCGCTTTAGCTTACGACCAAGCCGCGCTTTCAACAAGAGGATCATCGGCGACGCTCAATTTTCCAATCCACGTTGTCAGGGAATCGCTTTGGGACATCAAGTACCGATGCGACGACGGTTGCTCGCCGTTGGAGGTGCTGAAGAAGAAACACAGCTTAAGGACAAGATCCAAGAACATGAGGACCAGCAGCGAACCAAACAAGGTACGAGAACAAAACAACTTGGTTGTGTTGGAAGATTTAGGAACTGATTACTTGGAACAACTTCTAGGTTGTTCATGCTGAAAGCCTGAAACTCACTGAGGAAATTGAACACTATATAAGCATAAAACAGATCCAAGAATTTGAAGAAAACAAGTATGAACGTTATATTTACTTGCATTTCAGCTATTAATTGTATAATTGTAAACTGATTATTATGTAATGCGATAAATAGAATTTGATTTGATATAATCATATTTATCGAATTTTGATTTCATTTCAATATTATAAGTGTGAGAACATGAGTGATTTCAGTGGTTAAAGTAAGTGTTATTTTCCCTTGAAGTCATACTATTAAAAAATCACCTTATATTACATTGTCAATTATTATAAATATGATATCAACTTATAATCACTCTATACTATTAAAAAAATATTATGAAACTTTAATTTTTATCTATAATTTAATTATTTTTTTATAAACAAACTAATTTGAAATTTAAAATATTAAAGTCATATGAAAATATAAGATAATATTAAATAATTCATAATAACATACAAAGCGATTCTTTAGTTATACAATGTCTCATAAAGTTATGTAATTAATTTCACACTTCTATATCTTTAATATAACTTTAAAAATTAAATTAATGAAACATCAAGCTAGAACCAGTTCAACCCTAGTGATAAAGTTCAAACTCATAAAGTAAACTCGAAGAAGTTTAGTACCATGCTATCATATACACCAATTGTATTCGTTTCCAATGATAGGATCCATAACGTAGCCAAATCAAGTTCAAAACCAATAACTGTTCACAAATCACAATCATCACAAATAAAACTCATAACCCTTACCCTAGTCATACGCAAATTTAGATAATGTTACTCACCAAATATTGATAAAAAAAACATGGTATCGTTTAAATTTAGTTTTTAATACAAAAATTAAAATACTGTCAGTTGTTATGTTTATATTCTATTCGATAGTTTATTATTTTGGGTCTTAGTAATGTTTGTTGTTTTAAATATTACGAATATCATGTCATTTTGTATGAAGAGTAAACCTTGATTGTTGGTTAGATTTTCTATCGATGAACTCAATGAAAATAGTTTCTGAGTTTCATTCTTCATACAAAATGACGGAATATTTATAATACTTAAAAGAACACGTACTATTAAGAACTCAAAACTATAATATATTAAATAAAACAAAACAACAAAGAGAGAGAAAAAAAAGAACATCTTGAAACTTCCAAAATTTTATTATTTCAAATGCAAATTCCTTAATGCTTTTGAGCTGATGTTACCTCTATTGCTTGCTTTTAATTGTTATGCTTCCCTCTATTTTTTATAGCATCCCTTTTCATACATTTTTAATAAAAACTTATTCTCATTACACCTAACATATTTGATTGTACTTGTTTCGTTCGGGATATCCATCTCAAATTATAAAGCTTGATCCTAAGTCCTTAAAGTGTACCATTTTGGGATATTTTCGTGTAAAAAAAGATATTATTATTATTATTTTCTAAGTCTTGAAAAGTACTTTGTGTCTGTTGATGTTATATTTTTGGAACCATCACTATTTTCTTCTTCTTTAGGTTTTGTGAGTGAGAGGAGGATAATTTCCTAGTATACCATGTCATGTAAAGTTTTGGTATGCCACTCCCTACTTCTATTAATTCACCACCATCTACATTAGATATTCCTCCTATCAAACATACCTACTCACATCATCTATGTCCGTCTAGTTCTAACCTGGTTATCAAAACTCTGTAGCCATATCTTAATGAACTAATATATTTGTCATCATATATTTGGCTACTATAAATCTCTTTATGTTATTTCATATAATCGTTCTTCTTATTCTTCTATTGCTTTCTTTTCATCTCTAGATAAAATTTCTACACTATTCATGAGGTATTAGTTCATCTTAAATGATGTACAATTATACTTGAGGTGATGACTGCTCTAGATGTTAATTGAACCTAGTCATTAGTTACAATATCAACTTGTAAATGAGCTATTGGATGTAAATAGATGTTCATTGACAAATTCAATCTAAATGGCTCCATTGCTCAATCGAAATCTATACTTGTTGCTAAAGGATATACTTAAACTTATGGAGTTCATTATCATGATATTTTTATCTAGTTGTTGAACTCACTTCTGTTAGATTATTTATCTCTCTTGCAAAACTTTTGATTGGTCTTTGCATCCGTTAGACATAAAGAATGTTTTTTTATGGTGATCTTTAAGGGGAAGTGTATACGAAGAAACCAAATAGTTTTGTTGCTGGTGCTGGTGGAGAGTATGGAAAAATATGCCATTTTAAAATATCTATTAAAATTAGCTGACTCTATTCCCATATGTAATGTGGTAAGGGGGAGGTAGGGTAGTAGGTTGCCCCTAATGTAGGCTGAGAACAGCTTCCGTGAAAGACCTCCAATTATGAATTATCCACCATGAGACTTGATCCCACGACCACAAGATTAAGAGCCTTGCGTTTTACCAACTGAGCTGGACGGGTTTAGAAAGTTTAATTAGACTATTGAGAAGTTTATGATGCAAAGGAAGAAGTCAAATCATTATGTTTTCTATAAAAATTTTGACGGAGACATTATTTTATTAGTTGTATATATGGATGATATAATAAGCACTAATAATGATTCTACCATAATTTAATTTCTGAAGTCATTTCTCCACGCTACAAAAACAAGTCTACAAAATGGAAAAAAAGATTCAACCTAATGGAATGAAAAATAATATCTTTATGACCTTTTCAACAATACATGCTTCATCATGAGATTATCCATCAAACTTTTTGAGTTCTCAAAATGAAGTTCTTAAGAGAAAAAATAGACATCTTTGTAAATTAAATTTTTTTTATTTTAAATACAAATTCCTAAATATTTATCAATCGATGTTGTCTCTATTACTTATTTTCACATTATTCTTATATCTTTCTATATATATATATATATATATTTTTTTTTGATAATGTCCCTTTACATACTCTCTTTCCAAATAAAAATTTATTTTTCATTGTATCTAAGATATTTGGTTATACATGTTTGGTTTAGGTTGTTTGCCTCAAGCTACAGAGTTTGATCCTAAGTCCTTGAAATGTAATTTTTTTGGGTGTATTCTTATGTACAAAAAGAGTATAATTACTATTTTCCAAGCCTTGATAAGTACCTTATATCAATTGATGGTAGTTTTTTTTTTTTTTGGGAACAATCACCATTTTCTTCTTCTTTTCTGGACAACTTCCTAGTCTACCATGTCATGTCAAGTTTTGATCTATCACCCTCTACATTAGATAACTCTCCTATCAAACATAGCTGCTCGTATTGTCCACATCTGTCTAGTTCTGACCTAATTCTTGAGACTCTAGAACATATCCTGATGAGTCAATATATTTGTCATCCGATTTGACTTCTACAAAAGATCCTTACCTTTCTATTGTTCTTCAAAAAGGTAAATGTACATCTATATATCTAATAACCGTTTGTCTTTTTTCTCTTGTACTTTCCTTTCATTTTTAGATAAAGTTTATATCCTTAACATTGTTCATGATGCATTAACTTATCATGGATGACGTTCAACTATACTTGAGATGATTGTTGGAGATGTCAATGAAATTTGGTCTTTGGTTACTTTATCAAATGGTAAATGAGCTATTGGATGTAAATATGTGTTTATTGTCAAATTTAATTTTGAGGGTCCCATTGCTCGATGAAAACTAGACTTATTGTTGAAGAATAATCTCTGACTTATGAAGTTTATTATACTTTCTCTTCGGTTAATAAATTAGCTTTTATTAGATGATTTATCTCTTACAGTAACTTTTGATTGATCTTTGCATCAATTAGATATAAAGAACGTTTTCCTTTATGGTGATCTATAGGAGAGGTGTAAATGAAGCAACACTTGGTTTTATTGCTAAGGGGACGTATCGAAAACTGTTTCGTTTATAAAATATCTATATGGCTCGAAATAGAATGACTAGATTTGGTTTGGAAAATTTAGTCAGACTATTAAGAAAGTTGGGGATATAGAAAAATAAGTTAAATCATTATGTTTCTTATACTAATATGATGAAATTTAGTCTCTGGAGTTGTTTCTCCATGCTAAAAAAACAAGTTTACAAAATGGAATAAAAGATTCCAAGTAAAACAAGCTAAGTGTGCCAGCCAGAAATGAATTCCCATGCAGTTATCAGAAATTATCCACTTCAAATGATAGCAGTAGAGAGAAACAAGTTGATTAAGCTGTCCTTTTGCAGACAAATCCAATTCATACAACTATTATGATTCCAACTCTGAACAACAGTAACAGTACAGATGAATGGTTTAAAATTGTTAGTAAAGTACCTTCCTGTTGCTGAAGCAGAATGACCCCTTCTAGGAATCTGCATTCAAGGCTATCATATATTAATCTCCATTCCCAGCTTCAAGTTACTGTAAAAACAAAGAGATTGCCAAAACAATGAAAATCTTAAATGAAAGCATGGAAATTTGGTAGGGAAAACAGTAGAAATTTCCAAATGGACGTGAAGGCATCATTGAACACATTCTGAGCTTCATATTTCCACTAACGTTTGTCCCTAAAACTCATTTTGTAGTGTGTGAAGATTTGGATTAAACCCCGCCGCCGTACTTCATCTTTGATTCTCGTGTTAATTGCTTTCCTTTTAAAATCATTTTCCCACTTTTCTTAATTTTCCCATTATTTTAATGTATTAAACTCCCAAATCGAGGCCTTTAATCAACATTTGAGTTTTAAAAAATAAATTTTTAAATTAAGATTCATTGCAATCAAATATTTTGATTGATACCCTTTCAATAAAGATATATTATGTCAGGTCATATATATATATAAGGGTTAATTATAATACTATGTCGGATCGAATTAATTTTTTTATCTTAAGCTTAAACTTGAACTTAATCTTATCATTCCAAAAAAGAAAAAAACTCTAATCTGAACTCAAATTTTCAAAATAAGAAACCGACTTGATTGAGTTCGGTTGGATCGAAACCCGTCAAGTCCAGTTCAAGTGTTCGTCCCAAGACTTATGCTTATACTTGTGCTAGTAAA